GGGCCACGCCCTGCCCTCTGCCCCATCACGTGACGCTTTCTCGCTCCTCCAGCCCCTCGCAGAATGAGACCCACCTGGTGGAAGGCTGCTTCTGCCCGGAGGGCACCATCAGCTACGCCCCCGGCTTCGACATCTGCGTGGACATCTGCGGTACGCCCCCTACTCACACGCCCCCCCACCCCGTCCCCACCCCCATGAGGCCGAGCCTCGTCCTGACGCCCGGGCCCTGCTAACAGGACTGTCCCTTCTCTCCTAGGCTGTGTGGGGCCCGACAATGTGCCCAGAGAGGTAGGCCTCCCGCCACGGTGCTGGGGTGGGGTCCCCCCAAACCCTGAGTTTTGTGGGGTGGGGTGGGCTGGACAAGAGAACCTGGGAGCTCAAGACTGAGTAACGAGTCATTGAAGTCCTGGAAAGCCGAGCTAGCTGGGACAGCCACCCACCCACTATTCATCCACTCCTCTGTGCGTTTGTCAATTTCTCCATCCTTCCATCTCTGCACCCCTGCATCCCTCTGGCCCTCTGCCTGTTCATCCCCCCATCTGCTCCCCCACCCGCCCTCTGTCCATCCACCCGCCCATCATCCATCCGTCCGTCCATCCACCCATGATTCATCCATCCACCCACCTACCCACCCATTGTCTACCCTCCCACCCATACATCCATGATCCATCCATCCGTCCATCCACTTATCCATCCGTCCGTCCATCTGACCATCTATCCACCCATCATCCATCCATCCGTCCGTCCATCCACCCACCCGTCATCCAGCCACCAACCCACCCATCATCCATCCGTCCATCCATCCACCCATGATTCATCCACCCACCCACCTACCCACCCATCATCTACCCTCCCACCCATACATCCATGATCCATCCATCCGTCCATCCACTTATCCATCCGTCCGTCCGACCATCTATCCACCCATCATCCATCCATCTACCCATCATCCAACTATCCACTCATCATCCATCCACCCATCATCCATCCATCTGTCCCTTTACACCTCTTTCCACCTGTTCATCCACCCCTTTGCACCACCTGCCCACAGGCCATGTGATGCTCTGTCTAAACCTGAGATGGTGTCTTACCCACTGTGTCATTGTCCTTGTTTCCTGCACACGACCGATTCATTAGCTCTGTTCTGCACAAACCTTGTAGACACGTGTGGTGTATCCGCCACGCGCCCAGCCCGCGTAGGCAAGTGCTGGTGAGCAGGTCACGGTTGTGATGTGGGTGGCCCGGCCCTGAATGAGGACCTCCCCGCGGGCCGGGACCTCCGCGAGTGCCGAGCGGTGGGAGGGCACGGGTTTCCCCACGGGGCCCTCAGTGGGTGCCCCGCACAATGCCTCCTCCCCGCTGACCGCAGACGCGCCGCGGTGCAGCCCCGGCACGTGGGCGGTGGACATGTCCTCCCCCTGCTCACCCCCGTCCGCCCCGCAGTTTGGAGAGCACTTTGAGTTCGACTGCAAGGAGTGCGTCTGCCTGGAGGGGGGAAGCGGCATCGTCTGCCAGCCCAAGAGATGCAGCCAGAGGCCGCCCGCTGAGTGCACGGAGGACGGCACACACCTGGTCACGGAGGTGGACTTCACGGACACCTGCTGCAACGTCACCTTCTGTAGTAAGCCGGCCCCGGGGGCAGGGAGCCGTGACGGGGTCCCGGGCTGTGCCCTCCCGTGGCCCCCGGGGTCTCTGAGCAGGGTCCCCTGTGCGCACTCTCACCTCCTTCCTGAGCTAGGCAGCCACAGGGGCTGCTGGGGCCTTGGGGTGTGTGTCCAGCCGAGAGTGGGTGTCGGGGGCCAATGCGCTGCAGGGAGACCGTGGGGGCCTGGACCGTTATCCCTGTGTCCCTCCCTGTCCTCCAGAGTGCAATGCCAGCCTCTGCAAGGAGAAGCCCCCTGAGTGTCCACTGGGATTTGACATGAAGAGCGAGATGGTACCCGGGAGGTGCTGCCCCTTCTACTCGTGTGGTAAGTGGCCAGGGGCGAGGGACAGGAAGGACATCCGGACCCAGGGCGGTCGGAGGACGGGGGGCTGTGGCGTGAGGAGGCTGGGGGGCGGCGCTGGGGCGAAGTAGCTCCCCGCTGGGGCCTCTGATTGCGCTCCTGGCCGGTGGCCTCAGTGCCCGTGCCGGCCTGGGCTGTGCGGCTGACCAGCTCCCGTTTTTTTCTCCTAAGTGCCCAAGGGCGTGTGCGTTCATGAAAATGCCGAATACCAGGTGAGCTGGGCACGGCGCGGGGGCGGTAACGGGGAGAGGGCCGAGGGGCGGGCGGGCTGGGGTGCCGTGGGGGTGCCTGCCTCACGCGCTCCTCCCTGTGCCCCAAGCCCGGCTCTCCAGTGTACTCCAAGTGCCAGAACTGTGTCTGCACCAACACCACGGACAGCGCCACACAGCTCCACGTCGTGTCCTGCACCCACGTGCCCTGCAGCACCACCTGCAGCCAGGTGAGCCGCTCCCCGCTCCCCGGAGCTCGGGGTGCGGTCCGCCCACGCCCCCTCCGGCCTCTGGTCCTACGGCGCCTCCTCTCTCCCAGGGCTTTGAGCTCGTGGACGTCCCCGGGGAATGCTGCCAGAAGTGTGAGCAGACTCACTGCATCATCAACAGGCCCGGCGGCCAGCACCTCATCCTGAAGGTGTGAGGGGGACTCCTAACACGGGCGGGGTCACCCCGAGCCGGGAGCCAGGCCTGGGACTGCGCCCGCGGCCCCGCTGTCTCCCGGTGTTGGCACAGCTGTACGAGTGTCCTGGCGGCTGTGACAATTGACCACAGACAGTGGAGCTGGAATCGGCAGCAACGATCGGCCAGCCCCGGGGGCCGGGGTGCGAGACCGGCCGCGGGCGCCCCTCCCGGAGGCTCCAGGGCAGGGTCCGACCTGCCTCCCCGGCCGCTGGGCCCAGGCACTCCTGGCTGCGGCCGCCTTCGCGGTCTCCGCCTCTTCTTCATGGGGCCCATCCTCTCCCTGTCTCTATGAGGACGCTGGTCACTGGAGTTCGGTCACCTGGTAATCCAGGATGAGCTCCTCTTGAGAACCTTAACTTAATGACAGCAGCGACGACCCTTTCCCAAATGAGGCCACGTCTGCAGATTCCAGGCGGTAGACGTGTCTGTAGACTGCAGGCTGATGGCCGTCCTCGGGCCCCTCCTGGGTGTCACCTGCCCGGTGGATCTGAGCTTGCAGGCTGGGCCTCCTGTCTGAGAAGCCGCACGTGGCTGGGCGGTGGGGCTACCAGATGTGTTCAGGCTCTCTCTGGGCCTCCTGCTGGCCTTCACCGAAGTGTCCTCTGTCCCACAGCCTGGAGACATAAGTAATGACCCCGAGACCAACTGCACCTTCTTCAGCTGTGTGAAAATCCACAACCAGCTCATCTCGTCTGTCTCCAACATCAGCTGCCCTGACTTCGACCCTAGTATTTGCCTCCCGGTGAGTGACCCGTCTGGGGTGCTGGCCATGTTTGCTCTGCCGGGAGCGGGGGTCCCCGTGTTCTCGGAGGGCTGGTCTCCAGGGCTGGGACAGTGGCTTCTGGCCTGGATTGCAGCTGCCCCAGAGGCTTTGCGGGGACTGCCGCTTCCCACCCCCATGGACCTGGGGCAGTCGGTGCTGGGGGGAGGTCCTGGGGTCTCGCGCTCATTCCTCCCCCACCCCGCAGAGCTCCATCACCTTCATGCCCAACGGCTGCTGCAAGAAATGTGAGTACAGGCCTGGCGGGTGGGCTCCCCGGGCCCCTCCCGTGGGGTTGCACGAGAAGGCGGAGCCCCAGGAGCCACCCTCAGCCGGACAAGGAGTTCGTGGGCTTTGCCTGGGCAGATGAGGTGGGGTGCTTGGGGCGGGGAAAGGGGCCAGTGGCAGGGAGCGGTGGGCCACCTGGAAGGTGTGGAGACCCCTCCCAGAGCCTCGGCCTCCCCGTCCCCAGGCATCCCTCGCAATGAGACCAGGATCCCCTGCTCCACCATCCCCGTGACCAGGGACATTTCAGATGCCGGCTGCAACGGGACGATCACCACCAACTACTGCTCGGGGTCCTGCGGGACCTTCGCCATGTGAGTTTCGGGCCGGCGAGGGGAGGCTGCTGGCCCCAGTGGCGGCGGCCCCTCACTCCGGCCGTCCTCCAGGTACTCCGCCGAGGCGCAGGCCCTGGACCACAAGTGCTCCTGCTGCAAGGAAGAGCAAACCCACCAGCGGGAGGCGGTGCTCAGCTGTCCGGACGGGAGCTCCCGGAAGCACACCTACACGCACATCGAGAGCTGCCTGTGCCAGGACACCACCTGCGAGCTTGTGCGGGCCCAGCGTGCGGCCCCCAGCCGCGCCCGGCGCTCTGGCCCCCAGGCCCTGCGCCCGGGGAGAGGCTGAGCCGGGCGGCTGCTGCCTACCTCCGCCTCGTGCCTCCTCCCGCCTGCTGACCCCCTGAGCTCCCTCGCCCCCTGAGCCTCCTCTCTGCGGATATTTATTTTCCGAGCCTTTGTTCAGTCCTTTGCTTTCCAAAATAAACTCAGGCAGAGAAGCTATGCGTGTGCGCTTCAGTTAGTGCCCAGGGGCTGGGTGGGCCACTGCGCACAGCCGAGGTCCAGCTGCTTCCTAGGGGGGTGAGTGCATCCAGACCACCCACAGAGGGCCCCTTGCTCCACATGGGGCCTGGTCACCAAGCTCAGCACGCAAGACACAGGGGACACCATGCACGTATGCTTGGCCTGGCTCCAGCAAACTTCGGATCCAAAACATGACCCCATTGACCACCAGGAAGCTCCCCCGAGAAAGCCCTGTTTTACCCTGTCCTGCTTGGGTGTGCGCAGTGCCCTTGTGGGACCGTCAAGGCGCTGGCGGCCCCTCTTTTAGGAAGCCCTCCAGGCCTAAATTCTGAGATGGACTCTCGGGTCCCACTCACAGCCATTTCCAGGGCTGTCCGCTTGATGAGGCTTTCATCCTGCCCCAAGGGGCCCCATAGCTGTGGGCAAGAGAGTGTGAGCATGCACGAGCATCTGTGTCTGTGCATGTGCGTGTGCACGTGTCAGTATGTGTGCATGTATGAGTGTGCATGAGCGCCTGTGTGTGCATGCGTGAATTCATGTGTGTGTGCATGAGTATCTATGTCTGTGCATGCATGAGTGTGCACGTGTGAGCATGTCAGCATGTGTGCATGTGTGAGTGCATGAGCGCCTGTGTCTGTGCATGCATGTGAGTGTGCCTGTGTGCACACGTGTCATGAGTGCATGTGTGTATGCATGAGCACCTGTACTTGTGAGTGCATGTGTATGTGAGCATGCACGAGCACCTGTGTCTGCATGTGCACGTGTGCATGTGTCAGCATGTATGCATGTGTGTGAGTGCATGAGCACCTGTGTCTGTGCATCCATGTGAGCATGTGTGTGAGCATGTGTGAACACCTGTGTCTGATATGAGTATGTGCACGTGTGTGTGCGTGTACGTGCATGCACGTCTGTCTGCATGTGATCGCGCATGTGTGTGAGCGTGCGTGAGCACCTGTGTGTGTGTGTGCATGCGTGCTCACATATGTGACTCGCAAGTGAATGTGCACAATAAAATAGACCTCATTAAGATAAAAAACTTCTCTTCGAAAGACAGTTTTCAAAATGATAAACCGCAGTCTGGGAGAAAATTTTCTAAAATATGTATCTGAAAAGGAGCTTTATCTAGAATACATACGGAACTCCTACGACTTAATAATAATAATATATTAGTCAACTCAGCTAAAAATAGGCAAAGATCGCCATGCGAGACGATTGGCCAGGGGCCGGGGGCCGGATGTCCGACCTTCCTGGTCACCTAACAAGGGCACACTCAGCCCTCATGGCGGAGATACGTCGGTGTCCGCATGGGGCCAGGCGCTGGCGCGCGCGGGCGACCAGGGCTCTCGGATGTCGCCGGCAGGCAGCAGCCCTGGGAAGTTAAGTCTTACGGAGTGAAACAGGCACCTGCGCGTGACCGGCAGCTCCACGCGTCCGCCCTCGGCGGGCCCGCGCGCAGCCCGCGGCTGCATGAAGATACGAGCGCCAATGTTGGAGGCAGCATTGCTCAAAGTTCCTGGAAACCAGAACTGGTCTAAGTGCCTGTCCACCGCAAGCAGAAATGCTGCTGCCCAGCACGCACAGAGGCGTGAACACGCGGAGGACGCGCAGCGCCGTGCTGACCGGCAGCGGAAAACACGAAGCGCCCACGGCCGCGCCGCGGAGCTCTCAAAACCGCGTGCGCGAACAGAGGCGGAGCAGCGACCTCCCGGGCCAGGGAAGGGACCACCCACAAGATGGGACCACCCACAAGACCGCACACGCGAGCTTTGGGATGCTCTCTCTCCGCCGTGGTGGGGTATGCGATCGCAGACGATCACTGAGACTGGACGCTTGAGGCGATGTATTTTGTTGCATGTTAATGATACTTTGCTTAAGAACATGAACCTGCTGATGGTGGCTGAAAACTACCGTCATTCATCTGGCTCGTGATTCCACAGCGTGCCGTCTGGGCTGGCGCGTCCCACATCTGCTGTCCACTGGCGAGTCTGCGGGGCTGGCCTTGGCCGGACCAGCGTGGAGTGCTAACACGTGCACACACACCTCCTTCCCCAGGAGGCAGCTGATCTCACCAGCGGCAGGAGGACACGCTACTGTCACGCCTCCCCTCCCCCCTCGCGGCGCGTCTGCGGCTGCTCCCGTGGCCGTCATAGCCATGCGCTCGGCCAAGCCCCGCCCAGCGAGGGCGGGACACCGTCCGGCTCTAACCGCATGCGTCACGCAGACCACCCCAGATGGTGGGAAAGGTGGGGAAGCATGGCCACCTCGCTCCTGAAACCAGAATAATCGTGATGCCAGGATCTCTCAAGAGCAGACAGTTGTCACTCTTGTGAGCAGAGGCAGGCGCCCCGGAGCAAGGCGCCGGCAACTTCTGGGGCCCGCGTTTCTCGGTGGCCGATGCCGCCTTTCATGCCTCACTTGCCCACCTCAGGGAGTGTGCAGTGACTTAAAGCGTTAGCCGGCTTTGAAAAAAGAAGCTGGGCACGTGTCCCCAAGTCCTGACTCTCGGTTCCTCCAAGGGCTGACCGTTCTCCCTGGCTTCTCCAAGGAGCGTGGCTTGTCCAGGCCCAGTGCTGCCAGCGGGTGTAGGGTTGTCTAACTCTAGGGGTCACAGTTAGAAGCACACGTACCCACAAACATAATCCATGGCCTCCAGCCTAGAATCTGTCATCGAAAGAATTAGGATCGACCCCGCATGTGCCAGCTGCTTTGTTTAGTTTTGAACTGGTTCAAGCACTCGGGAGGGGAGGCTGGTGCCGTCTGGGATGCCCCCGACCGAACCCCAGCGGTCGTAAGCAGGTAGGTTTATCCAGGGATTCAAAGGCGGTTCACTGACAGAAGTCCCCTAACAACGCATCTGGCAGGTGGGCTCTGCTGGGGTACAGTAACGAAAGCCCTCGAATCTCAGTGGCTTATAACGAGGTGTCTGTTTCATTCATGCTTCGTGTCTGTTACGGCTTGGCTGGTGCCCTGCCCCACATCTTCTCACTCTAGGACCTGGGGCGACTGAGCAGCTATCACCACTGGTCACGTGGAGGGGCCCTCCATGGCCTCTGGCTCCCGCTCCTCACGGGATGTGCAGTACTGCCTGTGGACAGGAGGGGGAGCCAGAGCGCTGGGAAACCGCACGGCGACCTCCACGCGGAGGGTGTAGGGAGAAAACCGTTATTAGACGCAGAAAAAGCATCCGATAAAAGTAAACAGCTTGTCTTAATTTTTTTTTAAAAGCATCCTAAGACTGTTTCAGAAGGAAACATTTTGAGTCTGCTAAGGGGCGTCCGTCAAAAAATTGCAGCAAACGTCAGATCCAGTGCCGGGGCTGAAGAACCCCTGGGAAGGTCGGGGACGTGGGGGCTGCCCGCGCTGCCCCCTGCGCTAAGACGGAAAAGCCGAGAGGATACATGGCCGTTGTTTGGAGCAATGAGCGGCTTCGGGAACTGCTGGATACGGGGTCGATGAACGGAAAGACACGAAATCAGTAGCGTTCATTTACATCAGTGAAAACCAAGCGGGAAGCTACCTCACTAAAGCTGCCGCAAAACTTACGTAGGTCCCAAGAATAAATCCAAGAGAACACGTCCCAGGCTGTGCCGGGAAAATCGCTGTATGTTACCCTAACAGTCACACCGAGACATCTTAGTAAGTGGGGATGGAGGCACACCACGCCCAGGGGACAGAGATGGCCACGCCCAGGGGACAGA